TGGCAGGCCATGGTATATTCAATATTCTTCACCATAAGCAAACATAAGAAATGATAACTTAAAGGAGTTGAACAGAAGATTTTGAAGGACAGCTTGAGAAAATAACTATTATAATGAAACGTGCAAAGGCCTGGAGTTAGAAAACAAAAAGGGAAGAACACGATCAGCATTTCTTAAGCTTAAGGAACTGAAAAGAAAATTCAAGTCTTGAGTTGCAATACTGAAGGATTTCATGGGCAAAAAAATTGAATGATGAAGAAAGCATCCAATGAAGATGGAAGGAATACACAGAGTCACTGTACCAAAAAGAATTTGTTGACATTTGTCTATTTAAGGGGTAGCACATGATCAAGAAGCACACTTAATTGTGCTCATGAGGAACATGTACATAGACCAAGAGGCAGTCATTCAAACAGAACAAGGGATACTACATGGTTTAAAATCAGAAAAGGTGTGCATCACCATGCTTATTCAATCTGTATGCTGAACAAATAATCCGAGATGCCAGACTATATGAAGAAGAACGAGGCATCAGGGTTGGAGGAAGAAGTTGAAGTCTCACTGAAAACATTGGTGAAAACCAAGAATCCAGGATTTGAAAGAATACCAGTTGAGATGCTTGAACAAAAAGATGCAATCCTGTAAGTGCTTACTCATCTATGTCAAGAAATTTGGAAGACAGCTAGCTGGCCAACTGACTGGAGGAGATCCATTCCAAAGAAAGACGATCAAACAGAATGCAGAAATTATCAAACAATATACTTATATCACAAGCTAGCAATGTTTTGTTAAAGATAATTCAAAAATTGCTGCAGCTGTACATTGACAGGGAAATGCCAGAAGTTTAAGTCAGATTCAGAAGACAACATGAAAATAAGGATATCATTGCTGATGTCAAATGGTTCTTGGCAGGAAGCAGAGAATACCAGAAAGATGTTTACCTGTGTTTTATTGACTATGCGAAGGCATTTGACTGTGTGGATCATAACAAATTATGAATGGTATTGCAAAGAATAGTAATTCCAGAACATATGGTTGAGCTCCTGTGCAATTTGTACATGGATCAAGAGGCAGCTGTTCGAAAAGTACAAGGGGATACTGAATGGTTTCAAATTGGAAAAGGTGTGTGGCAGGGTTGTATTTTTTTTTCACCTTATTTATTCATTTTGTATGACGAACAAAAAATCCAAGAAGCTGAGCCAACACGCACATGAAAAGATGCTCAACGTCATTCTCCATCAGGGAAATGCATATTAAAACTACAATGATATATCACCTTACACCCACTAAGATGGCAAGATAAAACACACACACAGAAAACAAGAAATGGTGAGGATGAAGAGAATTAGAACCCTCATCCATTGCAGGTGGAATTTTAAAAAGGTACAGCCACTATGGAAAGAAGTTTGGCAATTCCTCAAAAAATTAAATATATAATTACCATGTAGTTGTTGTTAGGTGGCATCAAGTCGGCTCTGACTCATAGTGACCCCATGTATAACAGAAGAAGATTCTGCGTGGTCCTGGGCCATCCTCACAATCGTTACTGTTGGAACCTATTGTTGCAGCCACTGTGTCAACTCATCTTGTTGAGGGTCTTCCTCTTTTTCACTGACCATCTACTTTACCAAGCATGATGTCCTTCTCCAGGCATTGGTCCCTCCTGAGAAGATGTCCAAAGTACCTGAGACAGAGTCTCCCCATCCTCTCTTTTAAGGTGTACTCTGGCTGTTCTTCCAAGAAACATTTGTTCGTTCTTTTAGCAGTCCATGGTGTATTCTATATTCTTCACCAACACCATGAATCAAAGGCATCAATTCTTCTTCAGTCTTCCTTATTCATTCTCTGGCTTTCACATGTATATGAGGTGATTGAAAATACCATGGCATGGGTCAGGTGCACCTTAGTCCTCAAAGTGACATCTTTCCTTTTGACCACGACAAAGAAGTCTTTTGAAGTAGATTTGCCAAATGGAATAAGTTGTTTGATTTTTTGACTGCTGCTTCCATGGGTGTTGATTATGGATCCAAGTAAAATAAAGTCCTTGACAACATCAATCTTTTCTCCATTTATCATGATGTTGCTTATTGGTCCACTTGTGAGGCTTTGTATTTTCTTTATGTTGAGGTATAATCCATACTGAAGGTTGTAGTCTTTGATCTTCATCAGTAAATGCTTCAAGTCCTCTTCACTTTCAGCAAGCAAAGTTGTGTCATCTACATATCACAGATTGTTAATGGGTCTTCCTCCAACCCTGATGCCTCGTTCTTCTTCATATAGTCCAGCATCTTGGATTACTTGTTCAGCATACAGATTGAATAAGCATGGTGATGCCCAGCTTTTCTGATTTTAAACCATGTAGTATCCCTTGTTCTGTTTGAACGACTGCCTCTTGGTCTATGTACATGTTCCTCATGAGCACAATTAAGTGTTCTGGAATTCCCATTCTTCGCAATGTTATCCGTAATTTGTTATGATCCACAGTCCCCTTCTAGGTACACACCCAAAATAATTGAAGGAGGAATTCAAAGAGATACTTATACACCAATGTTCATTGCAGCACTATTTAGAATACCTAAACGGTGGAAACAACCTAACTGACAAATACCGCATGATCCCATTTATATGAAGTGTCTGGAATAGGCAAAAGTATAGAGACCCAAGTTTATTAGTGATTACTAGGGAAGGTATGGAGGGAAAAATAAATAATCATTGCTTAGGAGGCACGGAGCTTCTTTTAAGGGTGAAAGAAAAATTTGGAAATGGAGAGTCATGATGTATGTACAACAAGATGAACATAACTAATGTCATTGAATTGTGCATGTTAAAAACTTTAATGGCAAATATTTTCCTATATCTGTGCAGATATACATCACAGTAAATAAAGAGAACTTTGGGGGAACTGTGGGACAATATTAAATTACTGAAACATATCTTTTTGGAATCCCAGAAGGGGAGGAAAAGGGGATTGACTTTTAAAATATTTCAAGAAAGAATGTGAAAAATTTCTCAACTTTGGTGAAAAATTTAAAATTAAGGATTTAAAATTCTCCATAAAAAAAATAAAAATCTCA